GAGTCGAGCGCCTTATCCACCTGGCCATGCCGGGCACCCCCGTTAATGTATAATATTCGAGCAATGTAAAAAACACCTTGTATTAAAATTAGGTTTGTTTAAATCAAAGGAGAAGGAATCGTAAGGAATTCAAAATAAAAATGTTTAAGCATTAAACTTTAAAGTGTAAAGATCTATACGTTCTGCACGTCTATTTGTTTGTTTCTAATGCTGTGAATTAAATAAAAAATTGTTTGTTTTTTTATTGACGCTTTCAGATAATAGGCGCTTAATATTTCTTAGTTTTTATCACCCTCGGACATTAGACTTTATTTGATTTTTTACCAGTTTAATTTTCTTCATAGACTAAAAATCTTTGTACGGATTTTTTCTTTTACTCTTAAATGGCGTTACGTATTAGAATTTCAAATAGTCCGAAGCCGAATTAACTGATTATTTAAATTTAGTAGTTAAATCGTACTTTGGATTTAGTACTTAAATAAATGCCGATATATATATGATATTTGCCAACAAGATTGATGTACACAGTTTTCTTTTTTAACACAGATACGTTTTAATGTACACAGAACAATACAATTTACAATAACAATTATTACAAATAGTTATTACAAACAATGATTTATAAACAAAAGTTTCACAAACTTACAAGCAATATAAAATCTTCTTTCTAGTCTGGAACTTCCTTGATATCTTATCGTGGGTTCACGATGAGCGAGTTAATTACGAGTTGATGTAGGTACGATTCGCCGAAAAGTTAGCTAGCTTTGTCCTTGGCCACACACGCTAGGTTTTCCACCGTTGAAGTTAGGTAATATTTTCGTAAAAAATACTAACATCCGATGAGAATCCACTGAAGTTAGATAATTTGTAATGTTCAAACTTTGTAAAGGTTCCTTGTCAAATATCTAAAGTTTTCCGATTGATAAGCGTTATAAAAACCACAGTTATAGCTTTCGAAGTTTATAGCAAACTCATTATAGTAAACTACTAATAGACACTCTTTTGGCGTGTCGCGTTAGTTATATTTATAGGTGTGGGAAGGTTTTCTAGAAAATTCAAATAACGTAACAATGCATATTAAAGCTTTTACGTAGACACATATATTTTGTATTCTTACTCTGGAAAATCTTCTACAACTTTGGAAAATAGGCGGGAGTTTCGCAATACCTATCTAACACTATAAGCTAGGCATGTTTTTAAATATAAATGTAATATAAAAAAAAAACGTTGACATTAAAATAAATATATATAACAACAAATTCGTTATAATGGATACACTAAGAAATTGATACATTTTTTTAGGGAAAGTCAACATTTGTAATAAACTTCTCAACATTACGAAAGGCAATAAACTCTTCAGGCGTGGGTAAAAGGGTTTCAGTTTTGCCCACGTGTCTACAAAATCGATTTGAGTTTTATAGTTTCTTAGCAATACAAAGTAATTATTTAACTAAATATGTACGTCCTATCTGATGATGCTGAGTTAACCCATTGGTAACGTTGCAGCATTGTCTTTCGTTTAACCCTATTTTGAGAATGTTTTTAACTTTTTTGTTTAAGTAAATCTAAGACACAAAAAAGGAGTTTGTCTAACTAAGAATATTATGACGTCAGGGGTGGCGAGCTAGATGTAATTATTGGGGACACCGCAGTCTTGAACTACTTTCGTGGTAACGAACCCGGATGTAACCTGCATCTTCTAGGAGACCCTATCTTCGACGATGCCTATGCAATTGGAATGCAAAAAGGGTTTCCATTGAAGGTAAATTTCATGTCCTTTTTTATAAGAAAGTCATAAACTTTATCGAATTTTGAAAGTATAAACTTGCCTCCAAAGATTATTATATTAAATTTTACGTAAATTTCTATGATCAACTGATCCACGTCAAGATTTTCGATTTATGAAGTAAATATTATGCATTAGTTAGAATTAAATTTTAAACTTTATTAATTTCTTTTAACAGAAATCTTGGAAGTTTTAGCGTTTACGCAATGTTGGTCTAAAGATAACTAACTATATGTGAAAATTAAATATATAAAAATGAGATATATTTAAAATACACTCAGTTGTTATACATGGAAGTATATTCTATTTATTAAAAGTTCATATGGGGTGTTTTAATATAATGAATATGTTGTTCTCTTTTTTTATAAAGTTTCTGATTCTTTGATTCTGAATGTTTCGTTTATTTGCACAAAGCCACACGAGGAATATCTGATAGACTAGAGGGAAGGCGGTCGTAAATATTATCAACCGCCAAGTCTTGGGCTACTCTAATAGAATGGTGGAAAATCTCTCAATCTTATAAGGCACCCAAGACCTCAAAGTGCGAAGCTTGATTTTGCGGCAACGGGACTCGAACCTTGGGCCATTGGATTCACAGTGCGGAACGCTAAACACTAGATCAATTATTTGGTTTTATGCATTTAATTATCTAAACCTTTTCTCGAGAATGATATTCAAATACGTGGTTTCATTGTTTTGTGAGATTAGTTCATAAAGTTCCAAGAGATGGCGAAAAAAACCTTGTAACTTATTTTCCTTTTAGCATCAGACATTATGACTAGTTTGATCTATCACATTATTTTTCTATGTCTACGCTTATGTAATCATAAGTCGTTGAATTCTTCATAAAATGAGTTTCGGAAACATAAAACCTTAGTAAATTCACTTGCTGTAAGTTAGATCTGTCTGTTTTAGCGCAAACTTACAAAATAATCTATATGTGCTCTGACTACTGTGTGGAATCGAATCCCGAATTTTAGTGTCGTAAGTCTGTAAACTTACTACTTGCCAACAGGGGGCCAATAATTTCGAACACTGTTTCTCGACCACCGGTACTGAGAACAGACGCAGGTCCTTCAAAAACCACATCGCCGGTCAGTGAGACTGCACGAAAACAAACAGAAACTGAAAGAATATTAATAAGTAAATAGTAATGGTTTTTCGTTGTACTTCGTGGTGTGCGACAGTTTAGAGAAGCAACGAGACAGACCCTAGTTTGTTGAGAAAACGCTGGTTGAGAAGAAACTGTCAAAAGACGTAAACTGACTTTGCATGGAATGCAATTCGTGTTGCTTTTAAACTTTCATACAAACCACAATTCATATATAGATAGATATAATCAAATACTTTTTTTAGAGAAAACTATAAATTGTGTGTCTCAAAGTTTTTATGATGATACACAATTACCGGTAAGTCGAGGGATTAAAAAATAGTGATGAAAATAAAATCTTTCTTTTAACCATTATAATTTGTTCATTTTAATTTTTATCATCAAATCGCAGAGCTATTTTAATCAATAACAATTAATTTATTATGTAAACCAAAAATTAATATATAAATTGCACTTATTAAACAGCTTGTTCTACAATATACCATTGTAAAAAAATCACAAGTGTTTTAGTTTAAGAATGATAGTGACTCATTTCTTTGCTTTAATTAAATAAATGTATTATGTTACTGTCCAGATTTCATTTATTTGTGAAAATAAGTACATTCACATCGAAGTAGCTGTTGAAGCATTCTTTTTCATGATCGTGGTAACCTTTAGGTGGTGTTTCAAGAGATAAGATCATTAAAAGAATAGACCTCAATAATATAAATATAAACACACTAAACCAGGTTTCAGAAGAAAAACTGGAACAAGTATAAGTCTTATTAGCAACATAATACAAAAGAAATGTTCCAAAATTGACTGGTTTTTGTTCATGAAGTTTTTTGCTAAAACGTATGAAGATTTTTTGAGCCATAACTTTTTGTTCTGATTATAAATGGCTAGAATTTCTTTCTTTCGGAGCTGGAAGCAAACTTATGACATCTACAGATGAACATTTGACTCAGATGAGCGCATAAATAATTTCCCTTGCTCTCTCCATAGGATGCAATTTCTGACTTGATTCTTCGTTATAATGAGTTTGGCTACATCGATCAGCTTCAGCAGAAATGGTATGGTAGAGTGCCTTGCTTTGGATCTTCAGTCCACGCTCCAACCAAACCCATGGGCCTTGGAATCAGGGCCGTAGCTGGAGTGTTTATCATGCTTCTAGTGGGCCTTCTGGTTGGTATCTGTATATTAGTACTGGAACACCTAGTGTTTCGATATGCTGTGCCCATACTTAGAGAACAACCTCAGGAAACAGTTTGGAGGAGTCCAAACCTTATGTTTCTTAGCCAGGTAAGTACAGTGATCTAATACAAATTATTATTCTTTTTCTTTTTTTTTTGGAACATTTGTTAGACTATGCTATTGCCATCTGTTGGTGTCTTTGATAATTACTATATTGAACTTTCTAAATACCTAAAAAGCGCGAATTATTCATCTTGTTTTAAGACAATAAAACAATTTAAAGTGATAGAAAGGGTTTCTATTTTGTTTTAATTTTTTTAACATGAACTTTTATTATGTTTTTGATTTCAAAAGAATCCAGTATTTTTTCGCACAAGTCACTCAAAGGTTATACTGAACATTAAAGGGAAGGCAGCTGCTCAACAGCATCCAATGTCAATTCTTGATTATTTTTGTTCCAGTATTTCTAAATAAAATATCAATAGTCCCCCGCTGGCTTAGCGGAAACCTTGGGGGATGATAGCTCTAAAATCCGGTGTTCGAGCCCCTGTAGTGGACACAGTGCAGATTGCCAATTATGTAGGTTTTCGTTTAACAAAAATCAAACAACCAAAACAAAATAAATAAGTTTTAAATTCCATATGATTTTTTTTGTACATTTTCACTTTTTAAAGATTGGAAGTTTTTATGAATGAATAACAATTCGACAAAAATGCATATGAATTAATCCTTTATCTTAGATACTGTTGCAGAAACTCTTCACGATATTTGAAATTAATGCATAACATCTGTTTAAACTGTGCCGTTTTGAGACAAGAAACATTTCAGTTAATCAGACTATCTTAGCAAATCACGTATAACATTCAGTTAAAACAAACTACAGTTTAGAATGAAACTGTATAATTCTACTGCTGGAAAATATCAGTTTGTATTCATCTGAAATGATATATTCTGTATGGAATATTTCAAGACATGTACAGTATACATATAAAATGTTTATAGTTTACAAATATTAACAATAGATGTCACCCCTGCTTGTAATTAAGTGTTTGGAAATATATATACAAATATTAGGCAAACTTATCTATCCTGTAAAGTTACATGTTTTCAAAGAGATTGATACGTTTGACACTACTTGATGATGTCGCTTTGACATTGGCAAAAGGTAACAACGTTGAACTCCTTTCAACCTCGTTGAACTCAATCTGTTGTTTAAACGTTATCTTTTACATGTAGGTTACATCAGTGGTTTTCCTAACTTTAATAACGACAAAACAATGGACTTGGAATCATTTAAACAACTTATTGATGAAAATTCGATTATCAATAACTGATAATTGATCTCTTTCAGAAACTTTACCGATTCATCAACACGGTGGAGCTTGTATCTCCACATCACTCAGCCAAAGAAATAGCTAACAATCTACGGGAAGGTCAAATCTTCAGCCTTTTCCAGAAAAGTGTAAAAAGAGTACGTAATTACGTAGTATAAATACTTACTAATCTTTGTGTTTTAGATAAGAACGTTGTAACTCCTTTTGTTAAAACCGTGAGAAACTGTTAAAAGTAGCACAGTATGAATCCGGCTTATTCAGAATATTCATACCCACCTTTTCAGCATCAGTGCATATTATCTAAATTCAGTAAATGGAAAACATATCTTTAAAGTTGTAATTTTCTTCTTAAACGGATTTCAAATAGTCACGATATAAAGAGATTCAGAAATGAGCAGAATTTTATTTCAAAATATATATATTTCCAAACAGCATTCGAAGGTTATTAAATACATATTATAAGTGGTTAGCTCTGTTATCAAACGCTTGCTGCACGGTTATACATCTATGTTAACTGTACAACAGTCTTAAAATTCTCCTGAAACTTAAGTTTCACAAACACAGAGGGTTGAGTATGTTATATTAAAACGACATGTTGTTACAGTCCGTGTTATCAAGTTCTATCCTTTTTTATAAAGTTGCCATGTTCAAAGTACAACAACTCCCCCTACTGGGTTTTCCATAATCCATCTAGTTTAATAGATGAAAATGTGCCATTGCCCGTTTCAACAGTCTGATCGCATAAAAACAGCAGACGCAACGTCCAGTGACTTGACCATTATGTCTTCCTATTGAACAACATCAATAGCAGTCTCATTCTCCAGCTGGTTCATATAAGCGACGATTGAATGGGAAGCGTGACTGGAAGTCTTATCTTGGCGAACTTATACCCTGTTGGTCTTGTTTTCAGATGGAGATCCTTTTTGACTATGTTGTGTACTGTTGTATTGATTAGGGAAGCTTTTGCCACTGACCTTGGTGTTCGAGTATTATTACCTGTTACAAGACGCCATACTTTGCATATCATAGCTGGTGTATGATTTATTGCAAGTCTCTTTCTGGATGATCCTGGTGCCTCAAATTAATCATATTTCTTTGTTTTCAATGCCATTAAGTAACAGGGATATCCTCGTCTTGGAAATTCTAAATCCTCGAGCTGAACACATCTATAAACTATGCGTCGGAAAGGTCTGTTGCATACCCTTCCCAAAATGATCAGTTTCCGGTGGCATCACACTACCTGCAAAACGCCAAGCACTGTCAAAATGTAGTTTCATCGCAAATTTATATCGGCTGTGGTTGTTGAGTGACTTGTGGATTTGCACATTAAAAATCGTTTTAATATAATGTACTCAACTATGTACAGTTTAACGCATTTTTTAGTTTTGACTAACGAGTTTTTAACCCTAAAATCGCGAATCGATCGTGCAGAAATGGTTTTTCAGCAAGAGAAGACGCTACCCCAGCTTCTCTTATAAACATTTGCATATATTTAAGTTTCGACCTATTGCTTGGAAAAAAAAATTAAAAACGCAATAAAACTTCCACATATTTTGGCGTTGATGTAAAGTCTTCCAAAAGCAGGCTACTTTTACTCAGAACCATTCTATGCTGACACTGATTTACAATGTAAGAATGAATGTCAATATGTTCATGGCATCTAGGACACTCTGCCCACATAGTAGAAAGAACAATAAATATGATATTCTTCAACTATTTCTTAAAACTTTCGTTGGTTGAGGTCCAATCAATCGTGTCTAAGTCTATTGAACGACGTAAGACAACGATAAGAACAAAACATCTAATCCTTGCTATTTTTTCTGCTTCTCGGTTTTCATGTCCTCTTTTGGTTGTATTCCAATATTTTTTGACCAACCTCCCTTTCTGACCGCTTTAAGATCAACAGGAACCCCATTATGATTGTAACTGCGACACTTGCATTGCATGCAAACCTTGCGCATGTTACTGAGACAAGGGATAAATTACTTTCGGACATTCTTTCATTCCTTATTGACCATTTTAGCACTAACAACCTGTTCTATAAGAAAGTTACTTTGCAAAAAGCAATGGACGTCCACCAAAAATCTCGACACAAACAGTGGGAAGAACTCATTTTTAAAGAGATGTCCCGATAATCAAAAAAGTTAAATTGTTTGGAAACTCTAATACTGAATTGTCCCCCAATGGGTCAGCATTAAGTTTAGGGAATTACAAAGCTAAAATTAATTTGGAGTCCGATTCCCTACTATGTATAGATCGTAAATAACCTATTCTTCAGTTTTGCGCTAAAAACAAACAACCTAATACTAAGTTATCGCTGAAAGGAGGTTTTAGGGTTTTTTATCGTTTCTGTACGATCGATTCCTTATTTATAATTTAAAAAATCATTTATAAAACGAATTTCGTTTTCCATTACTGAAGAATCGTTTATCTGAACAAAGTTTATTGTTCTTAATCATAACTGTACAGAAAGAAGTGATTCAAAATCACTCATTTCTTACAATAAAAGAAATGTAGACAAATATTGATTTTATTCTTATATAGAAATTAATGTAAAATGTTCATAAAACGCATTTGATTTGTTACAGATGTCAGAGAACAATAATCAACTTGAAATATTCTGTGTTCTTTTCTATAAAGGCTCGTGAAAATATAAACCATTCTAACGCATGTGTTAACAGCAGTATTACCGTTCTGTTTTACTGTAGAAAAACTGCTATAAACTGTTATGAACTTTTACTTCAAAATAAACGTATAGTTTTAGTTCAGGTCTTTTCAGGAAATTAAATCTCGCTAAGCAGGATCTGTAAAATCATTACATGGAAAATTATGCTAAAGGGCAAGTTTGGTTATTTGCTTAAACAAATTGAATTTGTTGTGTAAACTCATATACTGGTGAAAACTAAGACTCGGTAGGCTTAACAAATTGAAATATCGTCTGACTTCAAATGTTGTTAACGCATGTCTTTCAGTCATGCAGAGGACAGATCTAAAAGAAATAATAATATACCATTTTTATACGTCTCTGGTTTAAAATCCAGAATGAAGTAAATATAATGAATCAGACAAAAAATATCTGCAGTCAGTCGTGAATTTCCTAACATTTGTCAGACTTAATAAAAAAAGTAAGTAAACTAACCAGTTTGAGTGATTAGCTGTATAGTGGCATGGTAATTACTAAGAGTTCAATTAAAAACGATTAAACGCTGTATTCCCCAAACAATTAAGTAAACGCAAACTAGAATGGTTTCAGAACAAAAAATTAGATATCCTTCAATGTGTTCCCTAGAAAATACCCTCGGAAACTATGATGTTACACAAAATTTGTTGGAAAACATTAACTGATGAGTAAACTTTTTATTAAGTGTTATATTTTAAGGCGCTTTTTTATACAGTAGTATTTATTACATAGTTTTGTAATTTTCAAGATGTTAAACTAACCTAGGTACTTATTTTCCATTTTTTTGTTCTATTTTTCAGGAAGAAAGGGCAGTGAATTTTTGTTTTTGTTGAAAAATATACATTTATATAATTTTCCAGAATTTTACGTTTTTTTTTTAAGAAAGCAAAAGAAGATTTGAGAAGAAGAAGAAGCAAATCTCAGTTCTTTGGAGTCATCCAAGAAATTCAGAATGTGTAAGCTTTAAAATTACATTAGCATCCAAACTTCTAGATGAAAATACAATTATAAAACTTTTTAATAGAAAATATAATTATAGAGAAGGGTACAGAAATTCATTCATGTGTCAGATCTGTTAATTATTCAATTGTATTTTAGAAATTTATTCTACTGTATTGTATTTTGTTATGGGTTTTTACTTTTAAAATCATATAAACTACATACTTCTTATAAATACCAAGTTAAGTATGATTATGAGATATTGTATAGAGGTTGAGTGCGTTATATTAAATATATTTTGGAGCCTCACTACATCGTTAAAGCCCATATCACCACATCCAGGCATGCTCTATCTGGCCACCGTGCATCTTGACAATAGATCCGCAACTTAGTTTCCATTGCAAAAGGCTCCGTCATGAGGATGTTATGCTGGCTTCTATAATTTACACAGTTTACAAGGACGACGGATTACCAGTGCCTGCATCCGGCAACTTGACCAATATGTCTTCGTATGAAATATTGTTCATACCTGTTTCTTTCTCCTGTTTTTTCTTGAGATATGCGATTTTTGAACAGAATATGTCGCGTAAGCAGCTTGTGTCGCTTTTTCAGAAAGAGATCCTTCATAGTAATATTCCATACTGTTTCTTGGGACACGTGTACGGCTTTAGCCATTGACTTTTGTGTTCTGGATTCTCATATACCAGAGCTAGTGTATGACCTGATTCATATTTCTTTGTTTTCTAATGCCATTAAGCACAAGGGACAGCTCTATTTTGAAAATTCTAAATCCAACACATCTTTATGATTTGCGTCGAAATGGATTGTTACACACTCTTCTAGAAAACGATTAACTTTCGGTGGCATCACACTACCTATAAAACGCCAAACAATGTCAGTGATACATTTCATGTCACCACGGGTTTACATCAGCTTTGACTGTCACGTGACTCGCTCATTTTTCACATTCAAAATCGGTTTCAAGTAACGTACCCAACCTTCTCCAGTCTATTGTAACATGAAATATAAGCTCGCACTAGTTTTTAACAACCTTCTCCAGTCTATTGTAACATGAAATATAAGCTCGCTCTAGTTTTTAACAACCTTCTCCAGTCTATTGTAACATGAAATATAAGCTCGCACTAGTTTTTAACAACCTTCTCCAGTCTATTGTAACATGAAATATAAGCTCGCTCTAGTTTTCAAGTGAAACTATGTGTTGTGTTGATCTGCTGAAAACTGCGGTATTGAATGATCGTTAGTTCTTCTTGAGAGGATAGGAATGTATTTTATATTTGATTAATCCTTCTTCAAAAAATGTACTACAGCTTCTGCGCATCCATTATCCCTCCCTCCCCTTCAAAAAACACCAATAGTTCAATTACGTTAGTGTATGCCTTGGTTGGTAGTTGTTGGTTTTTTTTTGTTTTGTTTTGTTTTGTTTGGTTTGGTTTATTGATAACAAGTTGTTTTTGTTGGGTTTTTTCTGCTCTAGGATTCAAGAAAAAAAATTATTTATTTGAATTTTCACAAGTTGAACAGAACATACCCACAATTCTAAAATGTCAGGCCCAGACTTTTACAAACGACACAACTTCAAACTTTTAACTCAAACATATAACCTTGACAAAAAATATGTTAACCCTTTCAGCACGGGCTCGGTCCGTTGGACCGACCTCGTAACCATTTTGTGCTTGTTATAATTTTCATGTTATAACTTTTAAATTGTTAAGCGTATGTTAACGAAATTTGGCAGATTATCAGTTAACATTACATATCAATTTTTTAAAGTAATTCTTAAGTTTTGTTAAGCAATGTTTTCTCATGCCTTTATTTATTTTCGCATTTTGCCTATCCATCATGCAAAGTAATTTTCTTTTTAAAATATAAAATATTTTTATACATCGGAAAATTTTCAAATTTCACATGCGAAATCTTTATAATGTCCAGAAAGTTATCAAATGTTTCTTAAGGAAAAACTTTATATTTTATTTGCTATTTTCACTAACGAATCTCTAGAGGTTCGATAGATTTCACTGATCTCATAACCAACATGAAAAAATTTTGAAATAAATATAAATTATGCTTTTTTAGTTCTAGGATGACTACTAATTATAACACGAAAACATAAATATTTAGGCTAAATAGCTTAAATCTCATAACATTATAGATATATATATTCATTATTTTTATTATATTGACCTTTCAGCCATGCTTGGCTAACATTACAGAAGTTGTAATGACGCAGCGCACATGCAATCATGTTACCTATCCAATAACATAAAATTGACCTTTAGTCTTCCCAAAGTGACCCTGTCTTGGCAGTGTTGTAGTAGACTAGCATTTCATAAAATACAGTAACATTTCAGTTATTATTATTACTTAGAAATAAGTAATTAAACTTATTTTTCCTGAAACATAGAAGCAAACAATTATCTCTTCTAATTACAACCTTTGTACTCAGTGCTAGGTTGTTAAGTCTTTTCAAATTTCACACACGGAGGATATGAAATGAAAAAAAAAATTAAAGGTTTTATGTGTACAGTTTAAAAACTCCAAAATCATAAATTATTATATAAATACCATAGAATTAAATTATAATTTAACCAAGATATATTTCGGCATAGTCAGGTGGTTAGGATGCTCGACTCAAAATCTTGAGTTTCGTGTGTTCGATTCCTCGCCCCACCAAACATGCTCGCCAAAAAGGCACATGTACCAAAATAAGCACCTGCGCGCGCATGTTTGAAAATAGGCACTCTCTGATTAATTATAACTCGCCGAGATTCAAGTAATATCCAGTCTAATACTTCACGTTCTTTAGAGTCTTTATTAGTCTTCAGTTATATATTATTTTATGTTTTTACTTGCTGCCGAGCTTTCAGTTCAACGTGGAACGATTACTGATTATTAACACAACAGCTCATCAACCTAATTACATAAAAATTATGATAATTATAATAAAAAGTACATTAAAATATGATAACAAGTGACATACTATTTGTAGCCACTAGAAAATGAAATTGTTTTGGGAATAAATTTTATAAACAAAAGTAGATTTTTGTTTCAGAAAAAAATAGTTTTCATTTGTTCCAACGTTTTCTTGGATATTTTAAACGTCATCATCGACAAAAAAATTCTTTCTACCATCTAACGACATTTAAGTTGATCCAGACAAAATGATAAAACCTGAAGTCCTTCAGTGAGGATATTAGATGAATTTACTTTCATAATTGTCTTAAAGCTTGTAAAATCTACAAATCTGTGTTCACCCTTATAATCACATTTGCTTTTACTTACCAGACTTAGAACTATTATGCATATTACAATATTACTAAAGGTTAATATGGTTTAGATAAAATAAGAGTCGTTCAAAATACGCTAAGCGTCCATAGAAACATATGAGTTAATATAAACATTTGTTTTCATAACATTTTCCACGTTTCTTTTTACTTAATTTTATTCATTGCACTTTAGTCACTTTTAAGTCGTGTAGCTGCTTCACTAAATTTTACTTGTACTGAACAATACGAATTGGTTAGTATAAGCTTTATTCTTAGTATTATATTTCTCTCTTCACGCAGAGTCCACCAAGAACAAGAACTACGAACGTTAACCTCAGCTGGTAACCTTGCTTCCTCAACAACAGAGAACATACCCAGAGAACTAAAATCCCTCGATGAATACCTTCTTCATCACAGGAAGGAAGTGGTGAGAGCACAGGCGTTCTCAAATTTACGGAAAAAAGCATTATCTCAAGACAACAGTAATACAATGGATCATGATGTTCCTCAACAAGAACGGTTGTTGATGGGTCCAAAGAGGTTAACACATTCATTTCCTTCTATGTCTGTTCCACAGCCATTAGACAACAAGATAACGTCTTCCAGTTCTTCGGGAACTTCTTCTTCTACATTTCCTCCCCTGCCTCATCTCCATGATCGTGTCTTTAGTTTTAGCCTCAATGACCTCTCATCAGTCGGTTCTAGAGGTTCCCAACAAAGAAAAGTAGCAGATAGACGCAGCGGAATGTCTTGTTCTTTTTCGGATCTTAGAACTTTGAAGAGTAAACAGCGACTAAATGACTTAGATGCTGCAGATCTTTCAAATCATCATACCTACAGGAACTTAGATTTGAATATTTCTAGCCTCCGAAAGCATAGGCCTCCTCTTTTACTCCAGTATTCCATAGATGATCACCAGCTTAGTTCTATGCCCAAGGATGAAATTATACGTAGATGGCAAACCACTGAGCGGCAGATGTTAAACAGACTAAGAGAAGTCCTTAAACAAAAGGCAGAGTTAGAAGAAAAACTTTCACTTCTTCAGAAAACTCTCCTGCGACCACCATGAAGAAAGGAATCACATGGTTGGTGCAATGGTAAAACGTTATCGTGAAAATCACTTGGGTGGGTTAAATAACATATAATGACCATCTGTTCAGTGCAGCTTTTGACAGTTTTAACCTGAAGTTAAATGCAATGATAAACTAAGGTAGTCCTCTGGCATACTTGTTTGGGAAAAAGGTATAGAGATTATAAATTGATTGGAACTTGAAATGCTGTCATTGAGGACCAGAGTAGATATACTTTCATAGTAAATAACTTAGTACATTTGCCGAGCAGACTTCCTGTTTACTAATGTTATAATGTCTAGAGAATTAAGTATTTTCTTTTAGATTTTGTTTTGTCAATGAAAGAGTAATTTTAAGTATATCTGCTTAGCCTCTATTTAAACATATATTTCATTCTGTCTTTATAGGAAGAAAATTAACAGCTAAGTTTTCAAATTATTACGCAAATTTTAACATAAAAATCACTTTTATTGTGATAGTTTGATTGTTCAAAGATTAGATTTCAACGCTATTAGGCTTTAGTTCTGTTAAGCAATTAAACATTGAAAGTAATTGAATTACAGCTTGGTGTAACCTAGTGTGTAAAAACGTAGAAAGACTTCCGTTGGTTTCTTCTCAATGTACATTTATTTATGGGCCTGAAAGATGGTATGGAAAGGTTTTAGAATGCTATAAAATAACACTTCTTCGCTCTATGATAACAAATTAAGCATGTTTCGAAGTTTTACAAAAATCCACAGATTCCTATGATACCATTGAAATTCTTTTTTTCTTCTTCTTTTGTTGTTGTTGTTATTGTTCTTTAGCATTTTGACTTTTTGTTGTTAAGCGAAAAGTTACTCAATGGGCTATCTATACATTGCCTACCACGTGTATCGAAGCCCAAATTTCAGGTTTATAAGCCATCAGACCTATCGTTGATCCATCTGAAAGGGGGGGGGGTGCATTTTGTTAATTATTAACGAGGCATTAAGATATTTCCAGGCCCAAAATTATTCGCAGCTGTGTCAAAACTCGTGCATGTTACCAAACAAAGTTAATCTTCAATACAAAATACGTTTTCTGTCATTTATTATTCCTATCTTCACTTTACTAGTGAAATGTAGTTTATTTTTAATGTCCTAAAAAGTTAAAGAAATATATTTAAATATGATACCCCTATATATGTATTTATAATTAACATTCAAAGCAAAATTCAAAAGTTTAAAATTAATATAAAAAATAGAAAATGTTTCAACAAGCTGCAAAATGAGAAACGTCAAAAGTCAAATATACTTTTTTATATAGTTACGAAAAAGTTTACCGATAGAATTTTGTTAACAGCGATTGAGATGTTTACAATTGTTTAAGGGAGGATCAGGTAATACTTTTCATCTCATGTATTTGTATAATATTTGTAGACAGCTTTTACTGCATTGTATCGTATTGGAATGTTTCAAGAAAACCTTTTTTCCTTCTATTTATTTACGCCGTCTTTGATAATTTACGTCTAAACGCAATTTTAGGCTTAAAGTCGATTTATATAAATGGTTTTAGGTTGTGGTTAGTATTTGTTTAACTAGATAAGTATTGTTTTCACCTTGACGATCTGCTAGTTTTACTTTAGCCATGGATAATCATGCACTAGAAAGACGACGAAATTGTTTAGAAATATTTGATGGTTAGATTTTGAGGGATCAATGTGTTTAAACACTCGGTGTGACGATGTTGTGGTCTAAACTATGCACTTAAAAGACAAGAATGCAATTTAAATAAGCAAGTCAAATGTTCCCTTACGTTAGGGTTACATGGCTACTGCCTTGTGGCTCCTTATTCTATTGTTTCATTCTTGTTTAGCTAGCGTTGTCTTAATACACATTACTTTATATGTGGCCTAGATACCATAACAAAGTTAGACACGAAAATATAATTGCCTAATAAAGAATTATTATCTATCTTCTGTATATAATTTAATTCAATAGAACTAGCGTCATCTGCTGATTATTTTGGAAGTTTAAAATTCACGATTTCGTGTGTTATTAATAACTGCTTATTCAAAGTAAACTAACTAATTAAATCATAATTTAGAAAGGTTACTTTTTTTCAAAGTCTGATGCACTTAAATTTCAGTTGAATTTGTTCCCTAAAATTATTTTTTTGATAAATGTAACTTCACCCCAAATAAAATTATTCTTCAAGGTAAATAAAAATATCATAATGTGGATCTTAAAAATAAGCATGTGATTTGATTTAGCTTCAAAATAGATATGCATATATATATTATATATATGTATATCGGAAATATCAAAAAGCAGATTATTTTAAAATTCTCAAAAGATGCCGTTTTAGAAACTCTACACGTTTAATTTCAATTATCGACCGCTTCTACTTCTAAAAATGGCTCAGCATCATTCTTTAAATTTAAGCAGTCTTTCTTCTTGTCGTTACTTCAAGTGACTTTTAACATGTAGCTCTACACGAAGGACTTCCATAAAACTATAAGTACCAAACTACGTACATCATTTTTTCTACAATAGAAACATCAAATACTAATAGTTTCAAATTAATTCTTTCTTCTCTTTGTTTCCCTCTGGCTTAATAAAAAAGGGTGTTATCAATCTCAGAGGAGTCACTTGAGTCTAAATAAGAAATTATTGATAAATACATATATAATTTTCAATCATATGCTCAAGTAATAATAATAAATAGTAGATGTGGTGAGTAAAATTATAGTTTATTTTTCACTTTGTTTTGAAAACTGTATACAGTTAACTATGAGTTTGAATTAGAAACGAAAAACTAAATTTTACCTCGTTTATGTTTCAAACCAATAATAAAATCTTAAGCTGACATATAAAAACTCTAAAGTGCTGGCTCTAACAAGCGTGAAACCGTTATAGATTACAAAGTCCATTAACAGGATGCCCTATAAAAAATTTAACCGAAGTTCAAATGAGATTTATAAGTTATAAATAAAGCAACTGCAACAGTGACTTAAGTTCTTTGTTTGGATCAATGCGAAACAAGTAGTCCTTTACTTTCTTTTATTGTGAAACCGTTAATCTTTATTTGGACTCCGAATAAAGAAATCAGATTTCATCTTGAAATTTGTTTAAAACTAATGTTAAAAATGAGAGTTCAAATATGGAAGATGATCAGTGCTGGACCAAGGAAGCGCGAGGCCCCAAACAACAATCAGATCACGTAATCCACTGATGGGTTTAGTTACGCCTCAGAAACATTTTTTTCAATTAAACTCAAATTAGGTAAAAAAACAACTTATTTTAAGGAGTTAGTAATTTCAATAGTAATTTAGATTAGCACTTGGCCCCAAGTAGTCTATAAAAATATAAATAATTTTAAAACACTATTGCTGAATATAGTATAACATAGATGGCAGCACGTATCCTTTTAAAACAAAGGCGTAAAGGTGGAAAAAGTATAGTTCATTTGAGGTATTAAAAAATGTTTGGAAACATTCTCCCTTTCATATTCAAACTTTGTTTTGAAGCCATTGGCCTCACATCGGTTAGTGTAAAGTGCTAGAGAATGATGAACCTTAAAAACTTTCTTTAGTGTTCAAGCACCTAGTAGGCTTTAGGCCGTGACTGGAAGGCATAGATATGATTACACACTTCGTGTGATAGGAAATACTTTATTTTCAAACATAACTCACAAAACTACACGCGATCATTTTCGTAACTGTTATCATTACTTGACTTCAAATTTCAAAGTCTTAGATATAAAAGATACGTAACTGGTCCTGGAAATAGGGCATTAATACGTAATTGGTCCTGGAAATAGAGCATTAAATATATTTTTTCTTATCCACCTGTTCACACACTTTGGTTTGATAACTTGAGTCTGACTAGCCATAACATTTAATTCTAGAATATATCAACAGTCATAGTTTAACATCTTAGTTTGGGCGCACGCAAAGCTAGTATAAAGGTAAAGCTAAAAACTAGTACATAAAAACTAAATATGACACTTTTCTCTAGTTTCCTATACACACACACACACACACGCAAACATACACTCAAGTACAGGGTGGACGTAGATTTAACTTTTTGCTTAAACGTTAATGTAGAACTAACCACCGTATAAGCAAATCCTAGATATTCAGTAACAGGTGCAAGGATGAAACGACTGACGTGTAAGCAGTTGTAACACTTACTTTGTATGTATACAGAAGAAGAAAAGATATACCAGAACTTTCCAGCTCTATATTAAATATTGTTAGTTGCAAGAACATACTTCCAAGACAGCCTTCCAACATAACATTTCTTTGTGAGCGAGACCCTCTCATTCCCTTGACTTTGCTTACTTCATTGTCGTCTTAACCTACAAGTTTTTTAAGAAAACAACTAATACAGATACGGCTTGACTATATTTAGTATTATTAAATATTCCTTTTCGTTCCATCCCTTCAATATATATATGTATAAAACACTCTTCTCTTCCAGCGTTTTTGTTTCTCAGTCCTCTCTTTTAACCTATTGTATTCTGTTAATTTGTTTTTATAGAGCGGTTTTTTTGTCTGTATTTGAGCTACCTGTACTATACTCACCACGGGTATGGAAACCCGGTTTCTAGCGTTATAAGTCCGCAAACTTACCGCTGTGCCACTGGTGGGCTTTATGGTGCGGACCCAAGTTGTTCGAGAATGATTTTTTTACACATTGTTTACATTGCACTATTACGTATACCGAAACAAAAACAACAAAATTGGTATAATTTAATTCAGTGTTGAGTTTAACATAAACAAATGTTCATCACACTAACACGGGTCTTTACACTACATAATTGCCAGGAGTAAGTAGTAAGCCTTCACAAGTTCTACAATGTTGCAATACGTAACGCTGTTTTGTTGTTTATGGCTAAAATGTGAGTTGAAATAATTTTTGTTGACATATGAAGCATTGTATAATATTTATTTTCTCAAGGGCAACTGTGTACCTCCATTGTTTATTATTATTGTTATTATTAGTTCTAAAAATATTGGAAGATCGACATTATATTCTCTGACAAACAAGCGTGTTTCGTGCTGCCACCTGTCGCTGGAAAATTACCCTATTCTCGGGCTTAGTACATAAATACAGCATAAGCATCTGTTATTGTGGTAGTTTTTAGCGCAAAGCTACACAATGGGTTATCTGCATCTTGTCCAGAGCAGGGAATCTAACCCAGAATTTTAGTGTTGTAAGTCCGTAAACTTAACGTTTACACACCGACGTTTTTTGTTGTTGTTTTGCATTTTTAGCACAAAGCTAAGTAAAGGGTTATCTCTCTTTGTCCACAGCGGGGAATCGAAACGTGGGTTTTAGTAATATAAGCCCGCAAACTTACCACATGTCCATCAAGGCACCAGGGTAAGCAATTAGAATATTACCTGATTAAAGAGTGTCGAAACAGAATATTTTTATAATATGGTTTGTTATAAAGTACAAAGCTACACAATGGGCTTGCTGGGCTCTGCCCATCGCAGGTATAAAAAACATATTTTTAGCGTTATAACTCCTCAGACTTCTAGATACTGTGAGGCTTTAAAAATGTTAAATCATTACTTGTTTTCTTCACTGTAAATCTACTACTGTAATTGATACAGACGTACTTTCCTTGCACTGTTCAGTTCTGGTAATAGCTGTACCAAGTAGATGTTATTTGTCCAGTTTACTCTTTTACCGATTGACTTAACAAACTTTACATATCTTATCGCTGGAGTCTTCTACAGTTGTTATTCAAACTGTTTTAAGAAAACAAAACAGTTCAGGCGTACACAACACCCAGTAATAGATATCTAACACACTGTTTATTTCAGGATAATATATTTCAATCCTGAGAACACAGTGCACTAGGGGATACTTTTGCAGTTGACTTGGCTAATCGGATTTTAACGTCACAACAAAATGGCATTATAAAAATACAATTTTGAAATAGAGTAGAATCTTTTTTTTTTCATATACTACAGTAAAATTGGGCAGTTAGAATATTTAGAATTTGGATTATCAATACAAATTATGAGATGAAACAGTTCATACAAATTATTCTTTTGCATTCCTTATATTAGTTCACAACTGCAGCTATTGATCAGATTTCTAGTTTATGTTTTACCATTATTTGTAATAAAATTAAAAGAAACAGGCAAATGATCGAACATTAGTTTATCCGACACTCATTTTTTTTATAATGTCTTGGATTGATTTTGATTTCAGTTGTGAAAGCAGTACCTCCATCGTCCGCATGATTGGAGAACATTTCAAGCCGCAGCCCCTTTAATCTTTTATAAACGGACCTCTTCTTTTCACAATATATATATGCCACCGAATTTGTAGTCTTGGTTTATTTACAGTGATTCATGTCTCCTTTATTTAAATTTATAAATGAAAACGACGGCATTACTCTCAAAAACCATTTCAATATATTAGCTTTCTTAAAGTAAAAGTCTAATAGGGATATATCTATACACATAGGGACATTCTTAGCTCTTATACACTTTTGTATTGTTTTTAACTTGGGCATGATCTATGACCACTTATATAAGCTCGTGTCCAGACATAAACTCTTACCTAGCCAGTCGACCTAGCCAAATCTGTTCCTCTTGGGAGATCTACAATAAACTGCCGATAACCGGAAGTGAGCAGTGTATGGAAACGTAAGACAAGGCACAGACAACTTCCGGTAATTAGTACATTGTTGTTGTGACTGCCAGATCTTTCTCTCCGTCCTTTTTTTATGGTTAGCGTAAGCCCAAACCTAGAAAGTTAAAAGATTTAGACAGATTAACTCTTAAACGTTCGACACTTTCCCATCTTGACCAGTTACATATGAAGTAATGAATGGAGATGATGACGTAACAGGTTTTGAATGTTGTACCCCGAGCTTAGGTTGCAGGTATGCTGGCAAACAATCCCTCCCGGAGCTGAAGCCGTGTTTAGAACTGAGACCGACTCTGTGTGGAGGTTGAGCACTGTTTTGGCCTGGCACATTACCAAGGTTACTGCTTAAATTGGTGGAACCTGTATTGTTACTAGGGCCTGTGCTACTGTGTTGACTCCCATTGTGAGTGCTGGCTGAATGGGCTAGGCTAAGGGTCCGAGCGTGCATTGCCTGCCACGAACACAATCGACCGTGGAGCTCACGAAAGGATGGTCTACGTGTAGGAATCTCATGCCAACATTCTACCATCATGGCGTACATGTGCGGTGGACATACTTCTGGACAGGGTAGGAGTTGCCTTGAGCGAATCATGTCGATTACTTCTTGATTATTGTAACCATAGTAGGGTTGAAGACCGAAACTGAACACCTCCCACATCACAACTCCGAAGGACCACACATCACATTCAGTGGAAAACTTTCCATAGAGAATGGATTCCGGAGACATCCATCGTATAGGAAGTAATGATTTTGACTGAATTCGGTAATAATCAGCAGAATAGATGTCTCGAAAACGGCCAAAATCTGAAATCTTTACTGTAAGACTTTCGTCAATAAGACAATTGCGGGTGGCTAAGTCCCGGTGAACATAATGATGTCCGGACAGAAACTCCATCCCACACGCCACCTGGCGCATAATGTTAAATAAGTCAGGAAGTTCCAAAATTTGTTGGGTGTTTTCTTCTCCGCTTACAGAAGGGTCAGCGTGGGGAGAGCGTGAGACCAAATACTCACGTAGGTCACTTCCTGACATGTACTCAAACAACATACACAGTGGATCTTCTTGGAAACAGACTCCCAGTAAACAAACAATGTTGGGATGGCGAAGTCCTGACATTATTTCGGCGTCTTGCCAGAAATCCTGCCGCATTTTAAAACTTTCATTTTCTTTAAGAGTCTTAATAGTCACAGAAGTAGAAGATCCTGGTCCGTGAATCCCTAATAGTTCGCCTCTGTAGACTTTTCCAAAGGCTCCTTCTCCTAATTGTTGGAGAAAACGAACAGAGCTCAATGGAATCTCTGGAACTCTTAGCTTAGGCTTTGGCAGCAACGCATTCATTTCCACCCTTTGGTTAGAGTCTAATTGACTCATAGGCCGAGTCCCGGCCACCACATTCGAAAGCTTCTTGGGTGTCTGAGGAGGCTTGGAGCGTCGTTTCATACACCAGAATCCAACGGTTAAGCCTAATAATACCACAATCGCTATTGTTGGTAGCAAGATGTACAACCATGTGTAATCAACTGTAAAAAAAAAAAAACACTAAAATGCTACAAGTGAATGAAAAAGGTAGAAAATATTGAAATATTTAAATTCCTGTTCAATAATCGATAGAAACATTTATTTTGTATTATATAGCGAAAAAAATAACGTAATAATAAATGCTACTTAAAATATCACTAAAGTCAAACTAGCAAAACAGTTATTTATTTTAACACCATTCAAACCATAATTGGATTATGGTTTACAATTTATAATAAAATTATAACTAAGTGGTAGATAAAAAGAAACAGACAAAAAATTTTATCAACGTGAACATCTTTATGCTTCCCTCCGAATAAGATAAAATGTATATTTATGGATGTCGCAGAATATATACTATTATATGTATTACACTGACACATGTTTTCCAATTTAAAAATGTGTCAAAACATACATTGGATTATGAATGTCGCAGAATATGTACTGTTATATGCATTACACTGACACATGTTTTCCAATTTAAAAATGTGTCGAAACATACATTGGATTATGCTATGAAAAAAGGAAATAATGCTAGGCTATCTAGAAACACCAACAACCATTTTGCATTCATGGTCTAAGAATAGTTATACCACGTATGGTACTTTTAGCAGCTAAAAAAATTAGAGAAATAAGCGAGATAAAAATTGATTTGCCTCTCACTGAAAAGTAAGAAAGATAAATCGTAACTCTTAATATTACAGTTTCACCTGACGTCTTCTTTGATTTGCATTTATTTAACTTTTCTTTCTAAACTTTGTATAATTCATCTAGAACACCTTAGTTTTTAAATCTGGCTATGCACTAAAAATGTAATTAGATAGATTTAATCACAAGATCACTAATTTTCAAATTTTATCTTATTAAATTCTTTAGACGAAGATAAGACATGGTTTCCTCAACATTATTATTTGATACGTTACCTTTAACTAAACGTCAACTGTTAAGGTACTGTTACGGATACTATTGGCACTATTCATCAACAAAATTCATTATTAAAAACAACTGTCTATATATTACGTAAATAATCCATAAAAAGTCAGTATAGGTTGTCAGGTTAGCAATCAAAATGATTTCACTGTAGTGAATAAAGAAGGAGATAGCGGGGTTTAAATTATTTGTGTACTGTTCATTCTAATGCCAAGATATGACACTCAAATCTTTGTCTACGGTATCTGTATGGAGATTTTATGCAGCGGAAAAATGACACTTTTCATAGTCGCCAAAAATTGATTTTGAAGGTTGGAGAGATGCAATCTTACCTGCTCCGTGAAAAGTAAGATTTTTATTGTTCTGAACCACAAAAACTAATAAATTGTTTAATCCATCTGAGTATATTTTATTTTAAGCAGATTGACGATTCACGGGCTGCTGGTGAATTTTGACCAGGAGGAAAATTATACTAATTGCAATAGCGTATAATGTTACTTCGAAAACCATAGAAACCAAGTTTAGACACTAAGAAAAGAGGAAGGCATTGTACACAGAATTGAACGAAAATGCAGTTGTTAATATTCACTGTGAGCGAACAAAATGAAAGCCAAGACAACAATAGTCTCGATTATTCTAGTATCAGCAACAACTAATACATGTGTATTATTTTGTTTTACGTTTGTTTACAGTATTATCAGTTTGGAAAAAAAACCGAATTCAAAGTGGCTAGTTTAAAAATAAAAACACTTTTATGAGAAAACAAAAACTAAAACAACGATATTTTAAGAATAATGTATTCAAATAACCTCAACTTTTACTCAGCTATTCATTAATCTAATAGTATCGTAAAGACGCCTTGTTTATATTTCCCAGTTGGCGTCCACAGAAGTAGTGCTTGTGCTAAGTGATTTCTCTTCAGAGAAAAAAAAAAGTACGTAGACCAATTAGTTGCATGTTACAAATAGTGATCTCCGCAACTGAAACATAATTTCAAAGAAAAGTTGCACCACTAATCTAACACCACAACCTCATTAAAAACCTTTTTCCGATATCGGAAAATTAGTTTCACGAGGGTTTTGGCGTTAGTTCTTAATTAAGCATGTAGGAGCGGGAACTCCAACTACCGTCTTTCTTGCTCCATTTTCTTCATTATAAATAAAGCCAAGATTAACTAGAGTATCGATGTCGGCACACTAAGACCAGACTTTGGACCTGTCTCTGCTTCCATAAGGGTGTTCTCTAGTTCTAAGCTTAGTGATGTCATGATAACATGATGTAACCAGCTTTAAGGATTAGAAAGTTGCCTAAGAAGTATAAATATGCTCCTAATTAATTGACTGTTTAAACACATAGTTCAAATTTTAGTTAGAATTTGGAAAATTTCTTTTATTGTTTGTTTGTTGTGTTTCTTTTTTGTAGTTAAGCACAAAGCTACACTATGGGTTATCTGTGCTCTGCCCACCACGGGTATCGAAACCCGATTTCTAGCGTTGTAAGTCCGCCATCATACTGCTCTGCCACTAGGGTCTTTCTTTTATTGAGTTTTAGCCTCTTAAAGTTGACTCTTGGCTATTTTATAGGTTATTTAGTTATTCAGATACACCAATCCTTATCCTTCATTTACTTTATGTGTACATTAATTTTAGTAAAGTGCTTAACAATAGTAATTTGATATTAAAACGAAACCAAAGAAGGAAGCAACAAACAATAACGAACAACTACTCATAAAAGTTAATGATCTATTGTAAATTAATTAAAGATGTGTTCAAATTATAGACCAAGATCACGTTCTGTGGTCTCACTCGCGTTTTGTACCGCACGAAACAGATCAGAACAATCGCATATTTCACAAAATGATTTTGTAATTTGTTTATAAGCGCTTTCACGAAAAGTTTTAACATTCCACGAGTTTCCTGCAAATACACACTTGTCAATTTTGTAAGCACCCACGTAACTGAAATAAATGTTTGTGATAAATAAATTAATGATCGTTCCTAAAAAACAAAAAACGTCACCACTCTGGCGGAAAATCTTTCAATGCTAAGTTAGAAAATTCCTTGTGGTTTTAACTTACTTAAAAATGGTCAGGTACACATCTCTTAAACATTTTCTTACGTCGACATCACTTACTTTAAGGCTTTCACTACTACATTTATAGATGAACAACTCTCCCAGTGCCAAGTTCATTTTTAGACTCGCAATAAAAAACAAACAAGAGAAGACACATGTTTTAATATTTCATTACTTATCTGTTTGTTTGTTTTGAATTTCTCGCAAAGCTACACGAGGGCTATTTGCTCTAGCCTTTCCTAATTTAGCGATGTAAGACTAGAGGGAAGGCAGCTAGTCATTACTACCCACCGCCAACGCTTGGGCTACTCTTTTATCAACAAACAGTGGGATTGACCGTCACATATAACGTCCCCACTGCTGAACTGGTGAGCATGTTTGGTGGGACGGGGATTCGAACCCGCGACCCGCAGATTGTTACTCATCTGAAACTTGAAGCTTTGAAAAGTTTGATGAGGGATGCCTTTTAAGAAATTCATGATGGTGCAAAATTCCAAACTCAAATTGTAGTGCTCTAAAGGGGGTCATATATTCATATACCAAAGATAGCGAAAGAATTAAGAATTCGCTCGTAGCCGTGTGAGAAAATATTTGCTTTTAGGTTTAGTCCTGAATTATTAATGACCACAAATGAGTGAAATAAATACCATTACATTAAAAACTCCTAAAGGTCGCATGATTAACAACCACACTTGAGTGAAGTAAATACCATGACATTGAGAACCCCTAAAGGTCTCATGATTAACAACCACACGAGGATGAAGTAAATACCATGACATTGAGAACTCCTAAAGGTCGCATGATTAACAACCACACTTGGGTGAAGTAAATACCATGACATTGAGAACTCCTAAAGGTCGCATGATTAACAACCACACTTGGATGAAATAAATACCATGACATGAAAAACTCCTAAAAGTCATATGATTAACAACCACACTTGAGTGAAGGAAATATCATTACATTAGCAACCCCTAAAGGTTACGTGATTAACAACTACACTTGGTAAAATAAATACTATTTCATTAAGAACTCATAAAAGTCATTTGATAACCAGCCAAACTTGGATGAAGCAAATACCATTATATTAAGAACTCCTAAAGTTCACATGATTAACAACCACATTTGGTTGAAATAGTACCATTACACTGAGAGTTCTTAAAGGTCACATAATTGCCAACCACACTTGGGTTAAGTAAGTGTGTTTACATTACCTCCTACAAGGTACGCATTCATCTTTACGTTAAGTAAGTCAAATTATGTCTGTCTAGAGCTCTTATAGGTTACGTGAGCACCTACCACATCTGATTTTGGTAAGTATAATACGTCAGAAATCTAGTAGCCACGTGGACATTTAGGGTTCGTTACTTAAGACTTATCTCAAAAATTTCTAGGTTCCTCTAACCATAATAATTGTCATCAGCAAATTTAGTTCAAGAACTCAATGGTTGTCTAAGATTTGGGTAAAACTACTTTAAGATATCCACGTAAGCACCTACCACATTTAGGTATATCACAAAGTTCTCGGTGGGTTTGCGAATCTTTTGTAAAACACCAAGGTTGGCTTTCTGTACTCCCGGGATTTCGGCAAAAATTATGACCACCGGTCAGTTCTGGGTATTCGGAGGACTGGTAATATACTTGCTGACTCCAGTGTTGGCATGTGAGCCCAGAGGCGGTGTAAGACACTGTTCCTCTGTAGTCATCACCCGTTCCAACAAAACAAGTGTGTTCTGGAATAAACAATAATACTTATTGTAGACAGTTATCATAGGCAAAATAATATGCCTTTTTAAGAGATTGATTAGTTTTTTTCAAATTAAGCTTGTTATAACTTTTCAAACATACATTTCCACATACAAAAGCCGCTCATTGTTTATGGCTGGTAGAAATGTGTCCTTGTTAATCTTTTTTTTTTCCTTTCCAGTGGTTATTTGCAGATGACATTGATATTACCGTTTCGTTTACCGAAACTGAAACAATTACAAGATTACAAAATCTATTAGCCTCGTTTTTTAAAAGCGCGAGTAAATGCAAATAACACATTTTAGGGTTTTTTTGGACAAGAAGGTAATCCGACACTGAGTCGATTCAATTTCAATTTATACATTAATTTCTTTGCGAATGTGTTAAAACTAAAACGATATTTTTTTTCTTATGAATGTTCCAGCTTAAGCCTTTTGTTGGATGGGCCGTAAATGTAATAATACAAGAGCAGCAGAGCGAACAATTGATAAGGAAGATCAAAAAATATGTTAGAAGAGTGGATAAAAATAAGATTAATCCAAGTTTAAAACAAATGAAATATTAGTTTCTTGCTCTCGGTTCCTTATGTATAAAATAAAACAGGTAAAATGGTGTTACAACACCATTAAACAACTGTAATCACTGATTTAAAAAAATATGATGAAATAAGTTCAAAGAATTTTGATAGCTTCATATGTGTGTCAGTCTAAATTAAACCTGGCGGATATTTTTACAGTGGATTTCTCTCGCTAGTAAGTCAGTTCTTTGTTTGTTTGTTTCAACTAAAAGAATAAGCTGCTCTAAATTCCATATGGAGACACTCATATTAAACACTCAATCTCTACAGATCAGTTTCATAAGATTGGTTGCAGAGCATCAGAGAAACTGAAAACTTGCGATTATTTCATACGTTTTGATGATATATGTATACACACATGTACATAAAATTATATTTAGTCTATTTTCTTCATACAGTCACGTCTGATTTGGCTTCAGTTTATATTTGTATACTTAGGATTTCACTTTATTCCCCCTTTTATTTCTTTTTTTTTTCTACACGAAAGAGCTAGATGTTATAATGTCGATAAAAATTCGCAAACCAAAACATGTCTTTATCTCCAAAACTAACTTTAGCATAGAAACGCACTGGTGAATAAGCTAAAATTATCTCTACCGATGAAGAAGCGCGACAAACATTTTCAGTTCTTTCAACAATTGTAAACTTACATTACGCAGTTGTGCGTGTTTACATCTTAAAGCGTACCTACTTTTAACAAACTCGTTGATGTTTTTGAAGTGTTGCACTAACGATGGAACACAGAAGACATTAATGAAAATTCCAGTTCGTAGCTGCTAAATCTTCGTAACTAAGTCACGCAATTCGGTGAAAATATTCTAATCGCACAAGAAAGTTATTTCCATTAGTCGGCACAGCATGCTCACATTGCGGTATATACAGCATGCTCACATTGCGGTATATACAGCATGCTCACATTGCGGTATATACAGCATGCTCACACTGCCATTTAATTCTTTTGTTTCTCCACCTGGTTTATCAGTTTCATTCTCTATTATTCACACGAACCATGATGTTTTTAAGGATAAGAAAGACAAACTACCGCGTGGTGCCTCGCCATAGTGAATTAAAAAAAAGACAGTTAAAATTAAAATATATTCATTATTTTTATTATACCTCTCGTAAAATTGTAACAAAACATGCGAGTTTAATCTCTTAAAATAACAGTGTGGTACCTAATATATTATGTATAATCCCTTAGAATAACGGTAAGGTACCTAATATGTGATGTTTAATCCCTTAGAATAACAGTAAGGTACCTAATATGTGATGTTTAATCCCTTAGAATAACAGTAAGGTACCTAATATGTGATGTTTAATCCCTTAGAATAACAGTAAGGTACCTAATATGTGATGTTTAATCTCTTAAAATAACAGTGTGGTACCTAATATATTATGTATAATCCCTTAAAATAACAGTAAGGTACCAAATATATTATGTATAATCCCTTAG